ACCTGGCTGTGGACGCTGCTAGAACTAAGAAAACCGTCACTGGTTAACGGGTTCGGACTGGCAGCGGCAGTCGGAGACTCGGCACGGCCCGCTCCACAACACGATCACGTGATGCTCGACCGCCTGCAAGTCCGACTCGCTGCGAACTGAGTACGGAACGAGGTTTAAAAGGGCGAGAGACTTGAGTGGTAAGTCATTCTTTTATTTGCTTGTTCTACGTCTCGTGTGGTATCAGAAGAAACAAAAGAAGTCGCATGATCTGTTGCATTACCGTCGTCCGGGCCTGAGGGCGGTTAAGTACAATCAGCTCAATTACTACACCCAGGAACAAGATTACTACTACAGCTTGTCTTGGTTTCGCGACGAAAGGAGAGGACGCTGAAGACACTGTATGAAAACGCTGAAAACGCTACTAAGCTTCCAGGTGGCCATCCAGAGCGATCTATGTACACGACTAAGCTGTCACCTCACACCGTCTTTCAATCATCTCTGTCATCGTGTCCGGAGATACAAATACAATGCGTACTGTATCAAGCCAAGCTGGCCTGACTTCGGGAATGTCTTCTACGACTTGGTCTTCACTATCTGCTGACTTTATTTTGTCAGCGTGAGAGTCTTGAACGGCCGTGAGCCATCTGGAGATGAACTCAGACGTAGTCGAAGTAGCCTTTGAAGACGGGTAGTCTGCAGTGTCAGTTGGCTGCTTGGCAGAACGAGCACCTGTAAATCCCGGGAGAGTGCACGGCAAGATGTGCTCTTGGACAGAGTTGTTGTCGAACTCAGGCATCCCCTCTGCCCGTCGCCAAATATCCTTTCCCATCTGTGCTGACTCCATATAACGAGGCGTTCCTGGTTGGTCGTTATCACCGTTATCACCTTCCTTGCCTTGGCAGCCATCTCCTTCCTGTGGGCTTGACTTGGAGTCTGTTGATTGCGCAAATGGGAGCCTTTCCGATGCGAAGTCCGACGCCCCGATGGTCTGCTCAAACTGTTCGAAATCCTTGTTATTGGGTTGCAAGTGTACACACTGGTCGAAGATTGCCTGACAGTATTCTTTAAATGATGGCGATGGTCCAGGAAGTCGTTTTAGGGGCTGCCCAAAGGGTATGTTCGCGGCTAGCTCAATAGCGGTGACAAAAAAGGAGGTGATGGTATTGACGGCTGCACCATCGAAATCTTTCATGCCGTTCTCGTCGACTTGTGGCAGTCCGTTGTGCTTGTATCCCTTGAATATGTCGTGCGGAAGGATGTCAAACAAGTTAAGTCCGGACTCAAGGAGATCAGAACACAAGATGCTGGGGAGTTTGTTGACTAGTTCTTTCGGGGCTTCGACAGCGACCTGGTAGATCTAGTTAGCACCCCTTTTTTTGTCAGAGTGGAATATGAGTGAAGAATGAACATACAATGTTGTCGAATTTATTCGACTCTGAACACTCAATCACGCAGATTCTTCCGAACTTGGAGTTCACTACCCACGATCCTAGCCACGTCCCGCAAATCTCCCAGGTCGCGATAAGGTAGAGAATAGTTTGTGAGAACGCCTCCCTCGCCTTGTCTCTCCGTAGATTTTTGCATGACGGATGTATTGGGTGGACCTTAATCTCAGTTATCATGGTCACAAGAGCGAAAGTTCGTTGCGCGATTTGGGCGGTCACCTTGACCCATAAATCAGGACTATGCGTACCTCTTGACCCGCTTGATAAGCCAGACTGGGATGAGGAGTCATCGGGCTTAAGTTGATTGGTATCTAAAGTTTGGACGCGAGGGGATGTTTGATTGTCGAAGTTAGGTAGAGTAAAGGGAGATAATCTTGTGGAGTCCGGGCGGGCGAGGGAGACGTCCGAGGTGGAAGGAATGACGATAGGAAGAGAAGTAGATAGTGCAGAGGAAGCTCTAGCTCTTTTGGCGGATGGACGGGGTGAGTGAATATTAAGAGGATTGGCCCGTTTATTCATAGGGAGCGTTTCAAGCTGATAAATCTAATTTCAAGGAGCAATGATTCTTCTTTCCATTGAAGGCGACTCACCTTGGTGTCCTTATACGCTATACTACCTGTAACACGAAGGGTATTGATGTCATTTCCGATTTCGAAGTCCACTGTGCCCACATCACGAACATCTTCAATAAGGGTGTATTTGAACAAAGCTCGACCATACGCCGCCCATCGAGATTGGAAATCGTTTTCAGACCCCAATCCGCTCGTTTGAAAGAAATCTGCAATTGATAACAAGGGTTCGTAGAGAGGATGTGATTGGGATATTTTGATATCCCCATCAGCCTCCTTTGCAGGTGGCTCTCGTAGGATCGGGACCCTGAAGTGTGAGAGGTAGGTAACTCGCTGTGGCTGCGGCTGAGGCTGAGCAAGTTGCTCAAACTCTCTCCCTTGCAGAGGGCTGCTAGATTCCATGGCTAAAGGATGAAAAGAGTAGAATCAAAAAAGGGGAAAGCAAGAAAACGTCACGGTTGAGAATAGGATTGAACTTTACGTTACCAAAAGAGGAAATGCGGGGAAGGATGACGTTAGTTCCTCAGAGACGCCGAGATACGTGTAGATCCGCATCGGTTAGCCGGCACTTGAACGTTTGAACTAGCTTGAACGTTGAACACCTTCATCTCAAGCCTAGTGACATTGGCGAGCTATTGCATCATGGTTCACTGATGCCGCACTCGTAGCTATATGCGCTACTGCACATAAGTAAGTACCGCGACATGTCAAGATGATCAACATGTCATTGGACGAAATAACACTAGCTTAGCCCCATAGACGGAGTTGCTCGGGAGGCCTACCATCGTACCTATCGCCCTTGAACCCAAACGTATCGATGATATCCCACACCTGCTTCTTCTCCTCTTCACTGAGCTCAATGTCTCCAGCAAGGGCATTCTCGATCGTACGTTTGGGGTGTCTATACATGTGTGCCGAGGTCAGTTATATTCCATGAACGACAAGCCCTTCAAAAAGAAAAGATGATACTCACGAGGAGCCGGCAAGTGGGAGGACGAGTGTAGGATGGAGAGCAGCAACCCAAGCGATGGACAACTGAGCAGCCGTCACGTCTTTCTTCTCCGCGATAGCTTTGAGCTTATCGACGAGTTGCAAGTTGTATGCGAAGATCTCGGGGTCCTTGAAGCGCGTGTGGTGGGAGCGCATGTCGTCTTTGGGGATATCGTCGATTGATTTGAACTTTCCAGTTAGGAAACCACGGCCGAGAGGACTGTGAATGAGTGCGTCAATGAGGTTGGAGTCGGAAGGTTTGAAACGGGTATGTACGCGTATGCGGCTACTGTCACACCTAGCTCTGTAGCAGTGGCAAGTACTGGAGAAGATTAGTGAGAGATTAGCACGATGATGGCGAACTCGGTCAGACAGAGAAGACCTACCCTTCTTTGTTTCTTCTTCCATACTCCAGGGGCTAACCTCAATTTCGACGGCCGTAATTGGGTAGACGGCGTTTGCTCGTCTGAGGGTGTCTGCATTGACTTCCGACAAACCAATGTGGTCAAACAAACCCTCGTCAATGATAGTCTTGAGGTTCCGAATCGCCTCTTCGATGGGGCGACTTGTATCCACACGAGCCAATTCGAAGAGGTCGATGTGCTTCTTATGACGGAGGGCCTCGTTACAAGTGTTTACGCTGCGCTTGATCCCTTCGACGCTGTTGATTAGGATTAGCCTCTCACGTTCATTATGATTGCTCAATGAAATGGACGTACGAAGCATCGAAATCAAATTTGCCTGGGACCTTCCCTCCCTTTATTTGGCCGCGCTCAGTTTTACTGTATACGTATGGGGTCATGCTGTGTACGTACTTTGACTGACAGGAAACATCTATCCGCGTACTCGGGATATTTTTCAAAAAAGCGAGATAGCATCTCGAGGTTGGCGGTGCCAAAGTCATGAGCGTAGAACTCGCCTGAGAGACACCATCAGCCTTAGTCAAATGAAGGACAACGTGTACAGGTGACAGCGATACTACTTACCGCTATTGAGCATCATCTTCACACCAGGCGGGCAGAGGTCGATACCTGCCTTGATGGCCTCGAAGCATTGCTCGTCAGGGACCGGATGGGGGGTCCAACTGTGGAAGCATTGGATCAGGACTCTTGATGTGAGAGCTGATCAGAAGGTTGTATACGCACGTCATAAGCATAAGACCGTGCTGATTGAATACAGTGATGAGAAGAATCTCGGTGTTGTAGTAAAACAAAAAACTTACCGCAACTCTGGCGACTTTAACGTTGGATGCCGTACCTCCAAGGGTGGTGAAGGTCTTGAGTGTAGACATGGTGGGCGATGAGAACGTATGGGGTAGGCGAAGGCGGTCTTCAATGCTCTCTCTAGTAGTAGTGCTGTACCTTAATAGTCAGCTGTGTGTCATCGATGTAGTGAGTTATTACGAGAGATCTCTGTGGATTTCGTGTTGTGCCGATAGACTACGTAGACTCTCCATGCATGCGAGTCGCGTATATATCTGCCGCCGGAATGCTACATGACTCCTGTAATTTTATGGCCGGACGAATGGAAACAGTGACGTGGACGGCCATATAGTAGACGGGCTAACAGGGAGCAAAACTTTGTCAAGCGTTCATAAGAAAATTACATTGCAGCTGAAAACAGGCATACAAGTGGCAGATAATATTCCTCCAATAATTCCACAGTGCTTGAAGCTAAGCTTGAAAGCTTGAAGTATTGACCAATCCGCGATAACGGGTAATAAGAACAAGAAGAAACCGAAAGTTCCTAAACGACACCAAAGGAAGCAGAGTTCGGCAGGCTTGGTATTTTCGGAGCTGGTCATTTGTTTGTCTATATTACTAAGATAGACCCGCACAGTGTGACTGCACCAACAGCCGCAATACTTGCCTTCATTTTGATCGCAAAGTACTCATAGCTTGCTTATGTAAGCATAAAATTATTGGATAACGCATTGTACATGTCACACCGTGACAGAGGTGATCAGTAGTGTGGTGGGTTTTCCTTATAATGCCTGGCAATCCAAGGCGAGATGGCCGAGCGGTCTGAGGCGCCAGACCAGGGTGATCCGATCACTTACATAATCTGGTCTTTTCGGAGGCGTGGGTTCAAATCCTACTTTCGTCATTAGTTTTTTCTGTCCATTACGGTCTCCACTCATTTCTCTTCTCTGAAGGACCACCGGCAAGATACGACTCTGATACGACACCCGACTCAGAACGTAGGACATACGTGTAAGTCACCAGGCCTACTCCTTTTTGAAACAGCATCAGAGTGCCCGACCTTTCGGTATTAAGGACATTACGACGTTCAAGACTTAAAAAGCCCGACTTCAAGGTTGCTGCGGTTGTGCTTCAAACCTCAACTGAACCGTTGCTACGAGATGCCGAACGCATACGAGTTCAAAGCACTGGCAGCTAATATCGGCCCGTAAGTTAGATATCTTTAGAGCCGAGTCTCTCAAGAACTCAGCAAAAATGACGATTCAATAGGTCTGCTCTCAGTGGCACCACGGTATACGTTCACTGCACGGCGACTGGTAGCCTTGTCCTGCCACTGGCTCTGGAAGATATAAAGCCTTGAGTATGCGGTTCTTTGGAGAGACAGCTTCATCAGAACTACCTACCAACAATTGCACACCGTTACGATGTCCTCAAAGTCCACTCCCCGAGTTATATTGAGTAGGTCCAGAAACTTATTCTTGCTCGACGGCCACTGAGTACCACTCGCTCCAGTCACAGGATCTTCCTCAGGCTTTGGCAAGTTACTCGTAGAAGTAGCGTTAGCCAACGGCGACAATGTCGTAGCTACGCTCCGTAAACCAGAGGTCCTCAAAGAGCTTCAAGATCAGACACCAGCCGACCGACTGCTCGTCTTGAAACTCGACGTAACCAAGCGTGAGGACATCATCAACGCTTTCGCCAAGGCCAAGGAGAAGTTTGGCCGCGTTGATGCCGTGTACAACAACGCGGGCTATGCGATGAACTCGGCGATTGAGACAACGCCTGACGACGCTGCCCGCGCGATATTCGAGACCAACTTCTGGGGTGCCGTGCACGTCAGTCAAGAGGCCGTCCGGTTCTTCCGCGAGGAAAACCCTTCGGGTGCAGGTGGTAGATTGGTTGTTGTCAACTCGTTAGCTGGGCTTATTGGAATCCCCGTCGTAGGGTTCTACTCGGCATCGAAATTTGGTATGCCATTGTTATAATTATCTGCACAACTACTACACGAATACTGACGACTATTAAACAGCGTTGGAGGGCATCACCCATGCGTTGGCTGGGGAGATCGACCCGAACTGGAATATTAAAGTACGTCTTAACTTCACTCTCATCGTCGGAATGCACACAGCGCTGACGTAGTTTACCGTGACACATAGATAACCATCGTAGAACCTGGGAACTTCCGTACGAGGGGTTCTAACCCAGCCGAGACCACTCTCATTCCCTTCCCTGAGTCGTATTCGGCGCCCACAACTGGATTGTCGCAGGTTATGGCAAAGATCACTGCGCATGCTGGACCCGGCGTGAAGACGGGAGACGCACGCAAGGGTATTCAGAAGATGTACGACTTGCTGAGTCTTGAGAACCCTCCGATAAGGCTGTTTCTTGGTGCAGAGGCACATCTTGCCATGGTGCGGGCTCATTTGGATAGCATAATTGCGGACCTTGAAGCGTATCAGAGTTGGTCGGCTGATCTCCTCGAGGATTGAAGTTGGGGAGGTTAACGGCTACTACTAGGAAGTTGTCAGCCTCTGTTACATAGTGAATCTAGATGTTATCGAGAAACTCTATTGATCAGAGCATGTGGCGGTATATCTCCTTGATTTCGGTGTTCGAATATATGTGTCTCAACTTGTCTGAAATATCCCGTCTATATTACAATCTTGCAACTGACTACTGAGCCTGACACTGGCGCTTAATTATGATGCCAGCCTCAAGCTCGTATATTCTTCTAGCTACAGGCATCGGCTTCAATCGCAATGGACTCATGTATTCTTTCAAGTTTGTCGTTTCATTACATGGCTCGGGATCAATCAATCATTAATCAACGTTCAGCGTTTCAACAGCCCACCTTATTACCTTTGCACACACATAGGTGCACGTGGATCACCGGTGCAATGGGTAGGCCAAGACCAAGTGAAGCTTAGCCGTTGATGAGGCCAAGGTCAAACTTCGAGAGCGAATGGGAGGTCGCAAGTGCTGGTCCTAGTGTGGTCCTCCCAGCGGCTTGCTTATATTAATATGATACACCTGCCGACCGAGAGCGCAGTTCAAGTTCTCTCCTTTCATCACCACCACAATGACAGAGTCGATTCCGAGTCCTAGAGTTTGGCTGAGTACGTAGCAATAGAAAATTCTGCCTACTTCTACTCAAGTTTAAACTAATGTTTTGTACATTGCAGTTACTGGATCTTCCTCAGGTTTTGGCAAAGCTCTGACGGAGTGCGCTCTCAGCAAGGGCGACATCGTCGTCGCCACTCTCCGCAAACCAGAAGTCCTCAAGGAACTTCAGGATCGCACATCCCCAGAGAAATTGCTCGTTCTCAAGGTCGATGTCACCAAGGAAGAAGATGTTCTCAACGCGTTTGCGAAGGCCAAGGAGAGGTTTGGGCGGATCGATGTTGTGATCAATAACGCCGGGTATAGTATGGGATCTGTAGTCGAGGCTACTCCAGAGGACGCAGCCCGAGCGATCTTTGAGACCAACTTCTGGGGTGCTACTCGCGTTAGCAGGGAAGCTGTGCGCACGTTCCGTGATAGCAATCCGGCGGGCACAGGTGGGAGGCTGATAGTGATCAGTTCAAGTTCTGGTCTCAGGCCTTTGCCGATTACAGGATACTATGGAGCAACTAAGCATGGTGAGTGCTCGTTGTCACGATTTATTTCCGATCGCGAAAGAATTCACACTGATTTGGTGTTGGAATACTTAGCATTGGAAGCGATCACGCAGTCACTCGTGGAGGAACTTGACCCAAACTGGAATATCAAGGTGCGTCTCACATAAGTATCCGTAGCCACTCAATCTCCTCGTACCAATACTTGGATTGTATGATATAGGTAACGCTCGTGGAGGCAGGTGCCTTCCGCAGTTCAGCGATACAGTCAGCCCCACGATTGCCTACACCCGAGGTCTACATGACTCCTACGTCCGGGTTAGCCAAACTCGAAAAGTTGTTTGGACATCTCATGAAACCGGATGCGAAGATGGGTGATACAGTCAAGTTTGCGGAGAAGGTTTGGGAGCTGTTGGCTCTTCCGAACCCGCCGCTCAGGCTTCCACTGGGCCTAGATAGTATTGATTTTATCGAGGGTCAGCTCAAAATCATCTCGACGGACCTGGAGGAGTACAGGAGCTGGTCGGAGGATGTTAATGAGAAGTAGTCTTATGCGTGTCTGTGAGTAATATTTCATACAAATAATGACCGTCGATTAACTTTGTAAGACACGTTTAGGCAATGTTCGTTGAATAGATTCAGGTGCTCTTGGCAGTAAAGTTTTGAGGGACGGTCTAGCATGTGTTTTCTAATCCTCACCAACATCGTCGATGTATACAATTTGATTATGGATAGTACGGACAGTGAGTCAGTAGCCTTTCCAACGTCTTGGTATTTTAAACTTGAATGTATGTAACTGGAATTCTCGTCCTTATTTACGTACCTGTGTTTAAAATCTCATCTACTGTTTCACGCGCGCATTTTTGAATGAAGCAGGAGACCTTTACGACAGCGACTCCTGGGCCTGAGGCTGTTATTGGCTCGGTCCTCGATTTTTGGTCCCTAGTGTCATATAACTGCTCGAAAACGTATAGTCTGTCCTTGCATATCATTATCATATATTTCACTCTAAGTTCTCGGCTGCTCACAGTGATAGGATCCGCGCCCACAGAACTCGAAGGTACAGCGCTTACCAGGTCAATACCGAACTACCATCTTCTACCACAGTGCAGGTAATCTGTGTTACTTGTACATGATACAAACTTGAGGCCTTTTTTCTGTGAGTTTTGCTTTCTGGCTATTGTTTTCAAGGATGCTGACATACCGAAAGATCACGTACTTGGTCGAAATGATTCTAGGGAGAATACGAGGAGCAGTCTAGTCCGTTCCCGAGAACCCCTCGAAACCCGGGCATGATGATAAAGCAAGCGACTTAAATAAGTGGGAACTCTCAGTGGAGTTGTATTGGCATTGCCGTAAGGCATATCTTCCCTCATAAATCCGTAGGATGAACTCTTGTTCCTTCCTTCAACTTGTATCCTCCTCGCAATGTCTTCATCCTCGTCGTCTCCCAGAGTTTGGTTGAGTACGCAAAGTCTCACGTTTTCACCCTTCTCAGAAAAACTAACATTTTTAATGTTCCAGTCACCGGCTCATCCTCGGGTTTTGGCAAAACCCTGACAGAGTTCGCTCTCAGCAAGGGCGATATCGTCGTTGCCACTCTCCGTAAGCCGGAGGTCCTTAAGGAACTTCAGGATCGCACATCGCCAGAGAAATTGCTCGTTCTCAAAGTCGATGTCACCAAGGAAGAAGACATTCTCGATGCGTTTGCGAAGACCAAGGAGAGGTTTGGGCGGATCGACATCGTGATCAACAATGCTGGGTACAGTATGGCTACTGTCGTAGAGTCTACACCCGAGGACGCAGCTCGTGCGCTCTTCGATACCAACTTCTGGGGTGCTACTCGTGTTAGCAGGGAAGCTGTGCGCACATTCCGTGATAGCAATCCGGCGGGCACAGGTGGAAGGCTGATAGTGATCAGCTCGTACACTGGTATCAGAGCTTTCCCAATCATGGGTTACTATGGGGCCACTAAACACGGTTCGTGGGATTGTATTTCGAACTATTTCCAACGGTAAAACCAGTCTGATTCGGGATTTGAATAGCTCTGGAGGCAATTACGCAATCGCTGGCTGAAGAGCTTGATCCAAACTGGAATATCAAGGTGGGTTCTCATACGGGTATTTATAACTATTTGACAATTTAGAATTGATATTTGGTATGTGTGATGCAGGTGTCGCTTGTAGAGGCTGGCGCCTTCCGCACTTTATCAATACAATCAGCCAAACGGTTCCCTATACACGAGGCCTACTTAACTCCTACCTCTGGACTGGCCAAAGTCGAGAAGTTG